CCGCCGCTGCCGCTGCCGCTGCCGCCGCCTCCTCCTCCCCCGGGCTACGGCCTCTTCCAGGCCGCGCCGCTCGGGCTCCAGCTCCGGCCCAGCGCCCGCCGCGGGGCACGCCGGGAGATGCAGTCCGCCTGGCGTCGGCACCGCCCTCGGTCCGCACAGAGGCCCGCGCGGCACGCTGGGAAATGGAGTCATCAAAGGCCTAAGAGGAGACGACGGTTCGCGCTGTACGTCGGGAAATAGAGTCCTGGGTAATCCGTGAGCCTACTGTGCCGAGGGAGAACTCCTGAGGCACTTTAGAAAAGAGTGAGATCCACACACTCATTTCTCTACAGCAACGGCAAGCTTCTAAGTTTGCCTCAGAAATGTAATCACAGCCACTCCATCTCTGAGCTGTGTAGGCCTTCATGCATGCCGGGAAATAAGAGTCCAATTGCTCTGTCTTTTGACTGTGTAACTCCCGACACCAGGTGCACTTCGGGATATGGGGGGGAGGGGAGGGGGTCCTTAAATACCTAGATCTCGGGCCGTGGGGTAAACTGGGAAATGCAGTCGTGGCCACACCCTCGCCGCATTGCAGGTGTAAAGCGACTTCCAAAGCACGCCGGGAAATGGAGTCCTGGGTGGTACTCAAAAACCCAAATGTATATCGCAGTTCCAGAAATAGGCCAGTAAGTGGAATAGACATCGCGCTTCACCTACCCTATAATACTCGAAGCCGCATTCCCTGCCGGGAAATATAGTCGACACCCAGGCTTCCACGTAGTTGCTACAGCAAGCCCTGGTTTCATCTGGGAAATGGAGTTCAAAGCCGGGTCCCAATTAAAAGAGGAGGCGGGCTCTGTCACCAGCCCAAAGCACGCTGGGAACAGTCGAGAAAGGCTCCTGACCCTTTGTGAAACTATACTCAGAGGATTTCTGGGAAGTGAAGTCCAATAGGTACCTTTGGTGGCGTGTGAAAGATTGACAGAGGTTCCCTGGGTAGTTTCCATGCCTCTGCCTTCGCCCCCTGATCCAATGAATGAACACAATCAGTGAATGCTGGGGTAAAAGTTAAGGTACATTTAAATTTCAGGTAATCACCTAGCAGGGAGAAAAAAAACACCTTCTGCCTATCCCTGCGAAAGGTTTGAATAACACAGTCCCCAGTGGTTTTTCTGAGCACCTGTCTTCAGTTACAATCTAGCTTTTTCTAGCAATGTCAGTAGCACCAGAAAGGTCAGATAGAGAAGGAATTTCTGTTTTTCAACCCTCATTCAGTTTTCTGCATCGTTGCGCTTAAGTGCTCTAAGTAAACCCGGTTACAACAAGTAGCCTCTCAGGTTTGTGCGCAAAACGAGTCGCCCCGTTTATCAGTTAACAGCCGGAAGAAGAGCAGCCCCCAAAGGACTCTGGGAAACAGAGTTCTATGTCGACATCCACTCCCAATCCCCACCGCCCCGCCCCAGCACCGCCCCGAAACGCTGAAAAGAAAGCACTCTCAGGTTGTCCCGCCTCGAGAATGGTGGGAAATGGAGTTTCTGGACTTCATTTTAATCTGAATTTGTGTTCATACTAGTTGTCCTGCTCCCTCTGAAAGTTTAAAAAGTCCTATCTGATCGGTCTGCTCCTGACTCCAATTTCCCGCGGACACAAAGGCAGACGGTAACGTTAAACCCCTTTTGGTCTATGTTATCTAGGATGCAAAGCTCGATACACTTGCGCTCTCTTCACAAAACCTGCGGACGTATTACGCACAGCTCGGAGCGGGTGCTTCTGGGACCTGTAGTTGCCCAGACAAAAGGTAGCTGCTGCCCTCTGACGGCACCTCTGAGATGAAATGTAAACTGAGTCAGATCCCAAGGTCTACTAGGGCATCACAGAAGGGGTCAATAAGCCTCACAAGGGCGGCAGATCCGGGCGAAAGACAGAGGGTTAGTTAACCTCTAGAACCCGTGGAACAAAGGTAGCAAAGAGCCACGTGGGTCCGCGCCTCGAGCAGATTGAGGTCAGGATGAGTTTGTGAGCCACAGTCTGAGGGAATCTTAACAGGCTGTGTGTAGCAGGGGAGAATATTTGTAGAGGAGCGATTGGAAAGGCTGTCAGTCTCTAAGAAGGCCCTAATGTCTGGAAGGGCTGAGAGAAATCTATAAAAGGTAGAGTTTTTGATGGGCCATAGGCACTTGGGAATGACAATGAGGATCAGTAGCGAAGTTCAAGTGGATTTAGGATCCCTGTAAAAGGTCTGTGGGAGACCGATAAATTACTGGTGCCTAAGGAGCTCTTTGAGCAACCTGAACGGGTGAGGGATGACTGAGAAGCTGTAGGAAGAGACTTCCAAGGCGCTTTGTAGATGAAGGGCCACAGGTCCAGAAGTGCCAAAATAATCTTTGAAGTGTCTTTGAGAGACTTACAAAGCAAGGATTTCACAGGACACGGGCAGGACCAATGATACCTTCTTGCAGAAACATTTCAGGCTTGGAAATGGACTTAGGTGGGCAATTAAAGACTGGGGGAGTGGCTGGAGTCCTCAGGGCCACATGCCACCTGTGACATCCCACACAGAATGTGGGGCAACAAGTTTGTGACACTGCGGTCAACTGACCCGGGAGAGCAGTTCTGGAGGTGAGCACTTAGAAATGATGGTGGTTAGAGGCACTTTGAAGATGTTAGAAGTCCAGCTTCAGGCTACTAATCAGCTCCTAAGTGGGGTCTTGCTTTCCTCCTGCCAGTGACAACATCGCCTTTCGCTATCACCCCACTATCTACTCAGCTGCATCTATGTTGCCAGGAACTATGCCTCATCCCAACTTCCAGAAATAGCCTGGTGGCCCCCACCCCAGGGAATGACTTACATCACCCAGGACAGGGAGCAGTTGCCCGAAGGCTGCCGTGGAGCCTCTGTTTCCAGCCAGTACTCCAGCCCTAAATCACTGTCAATTGACAGGGTCACCCGAAACCACCCACCCAGGACTGGCACAAGCTGAGATTCAAGCGTGAGTGGGTAGCAGTTGCCAGTCAACTTTCCTTACCCCTCAGGGTTGAAAAGGGTGGTGTTTCATGGTGTAGGGGACTAAACCATCCCTGAGCCCTCAATTACCACCCCATCTCTCAGCAAGCAGCTGGATGGCCTTAGGGTCCTTCCCCTTTCTGGGCCTCAGGCACCTCACCTGCACTGCTTGGGATGGACTAGTCTCTTGAGGGCAATTCCAGCCTGCATTCCTCTGGATTCTTTCATCCCCAATTCCACTCTGCATCTGGACTTCTAGTTTTTGAGTTCATCTCTCAGATCGTATGATTGAGACCCTGATCTAGACCCAGCCATCTTGGCTTTAGAAAGGAAAATCCAGGAGTCGTTGAAAGAACAAGGACTTCAGAGACAAACCCCATTTCAAGTCCCGGCTCACATTTAGGGCCTTAGGTATTTGAGTCCATTGCTCTTCCTTCTGGGATGATAAAGGAGCTAAAACACCACAGCTCCTAACTTGGCACATAGGTCAGTTGATACTATGATGAGCTAGAGCCTTCTCAACTTGTTAGCCGGGGACCTTGCTAGATCCTTAACTTCCTGGCTGGACTGAAAAAAAAAAAAAATCATTTAAGAGGTCTACATTTCACGAGACACTGCAAACAAGTTTCCAAAGGATTCCCAGTGTAAGAGAATCCTAAATTAAGCAATCTGGGTTAGGATGAAAAAAGCAAAAAAAAAAAAAAAAAAAATGGACCCAGGATATATAGCCTCTCGCAGCACAGCACCTGCCTGGCAAGCACAAGGTCCTGAGTTATAGTTTTTTATTTATTTTTCCTGAGTTAATTCCTGGCACAAAAAAAAAGCAAGCTCTTGGTCTTCACTGGGTACCCCGGGTATGGCTAGAAAACAACTAGAGAAGGTAGGTATTTCAGGCAGAGCACCAAATACAACGCGATGGTGGGTGAAGGTCCTAGAGGGATTCCAAGGACAAGCAGATCCTAACAGAATAGAGAAGTCAAGTATACCGGAGTAGGGCCAAAACTGGGGTTTTTTGGCAGAACCAGGGATAGAATTCAGGCCCTTGCACTTGCCAGGCAAGCACTTATTCCGAGCCATCTCCCCCTCCCCTGCCTCCATATCTTACTTTCAAGCTCTGGGATCTGTGACACCTATGGCTGGGATCATTTTCCTGACCCGATTTTTCCCTCCCCTCTAGTACTAGGAATTAAACTTAAGACACAGTGTACCAGCCCTTTTAATTTTAAGCCAGGGCCTAGATTGCCTAGATTGGCCTCAAACTTAATACTACTGCCTCAGCCTCCCAGTGAGACTGGGATATAGGCATGCCCGACTCAGGCAGTGATTTGAGTTGGCACTCTAGCCACAACCCCACTGGGGTGCGGGTTGGTCTAGGCCTGTTCTTCACAGTGAAGCAAAGGTTGGGGGCCTGCACCCATGCCCTAGGACACATCACCGCATGCAAAGGTCCAAAGTTTTATTGTTTTGAATACATTCTCCAGCGTCCCTCTACTTCCCGACCCACCCTCCATTCCCCATACAGAATAAGGCTTGACCACAGCCCCCCACCCCACCCCAGGGACCCCAGCTGGGAGGCAGAGGGGGCTTCCAGTTTGGTTTCAGGGCACCCCCTTCCCATCCCCCATCCACCTGCCCATGGGCCAGTCCTCGGAGCAGCTGGGGGTGAAAGGGTAGACTGATGCTGGGGTGAGGAGTGGGAGAGGGAGAGCAGGCACTTGTAAGAGATTTGTGGCCCATGGGTGGCACCCCTCACCCTCTTCTCCCCCCGCCACACACACCCCCTACCACTAAATTTTTGGTTCATCATAACATTGTCCTTCCCCTGCTGCAACCTTGTAGGGTATGAAAAACCCAGGCACTCATGGCCCCTTAAGGGGCAAGGAAGGCAGGGATGGGAGTGAAGGTGACTGGGGAAGGTGGAGTGGAGAAGAGGTACAAGAGGCAGAGAACAGGGAGGGAGACAAGGCTTTACTTCCTAAGAGATTGTAATAAAAAAGTTCCTGGGTGTTGAGGCCAAAGCCTCATTCAAATATAAATTCCCCAGATGGAGGTGGCCCCCTTAACTGCCCCCACCCTCCTCCCACCACCATTTTACCCCGAGCTTAGAAACCCAGAGACAGGGCACAGCTCCCAGCCCTGGGCACCCACCCACCCCCAGCATTAAAAACAAAAATTTAAAAAAAAAAAAGTTTTATACAAAATGTGGGGAGGGAAAGGTAGGAGGCAGGAAGGAGACTAAAGAGCTGCCCTCACCTCCAAGGCTCTGAGGGGTTAAGGCAGCAAAAGAAGCATGGGGAGTGGGGGTAACCTGGGCCCCCTGACCACAGCCCTCAGGAATCTCGGTGCTCCAGGGAAAGCTGGGCTGTGGCATGCTGGAGGTCAGAGCTCACCCGTCTTGGGGTGAGGGGTCCCCCAGCCTCCCCAGGGCCTTCCCCTCGCACCTTCTTGTCCTCACCCTCATCCTCAAGGCCCCCAGGGGGGGCCCCACCCCCCTCCAGGCGACAGTCTTCACTCCAGCGCCGCTTAAAACGCAGTTTGAGGGGCATACACTGGGCCGCCCCAGGTGCCTCGCCAGGCTCCGGCTTGGGGGGTGCAGGCGGGGCACGGGGTGTCTTGAACACCTCCCCATCTTCCTCATCCTCATCACTGATGTCAGTCACCTCCACCTCCTCGGATTCACCTTCAGAGATAGGCTCCACTTTGATCTGTGGTGGTGGCGGTGGAGGCGGTGGGACCAACGCCCCTGCCCCCTCAGCCAGCCCGCCCGCACTGCCACTGCTGCTCTTGTCGGCACCTCCTGGAGCCTTCTCTCCAGCTGCCCGCTGCCGGCGTCCTAGTGGGGGTGGCTGCAGCTTAAACTTGAACGGGGAAGAGGAGGAAGAAGAGGAGGACGAAGCCGAGGACTGGACCGGTGGGGTCTCAGGTGCCATGGGCGGCAGCGGGCACTTGTCAGGGCGCTGGGGCTGGGGCACCACTAGCCCAGGGTAATGCAGGAAGGCGCGGGGGCTGAGGTGGTAGTTGTAGACGCTTTGGGTGTGGGCCTGCAGGTACCGTTTCATGTCCTCAGGACTGAAGGAAAAGTGTGAGCCTCCCCCTGAGCCGCTAGGACCACCACCACCACTGGGGTACATGGGACTCAGTGTGGGGGAGGGTGTGTAGGCCAGGTGGGTGGGTGTCATGGGCAGGGCTGGTGAGAGCTGAGGGGGTAGCAGGGAGCCAGGCCCGGCCAGAGGCGACACAGGAAAAGGACTGAGGGGTTCAGGGCCACCCCGGGGCCTGGGATAGACACGGAAGACGCCAGGGTCGTGGGGCAGGCGGGCGAGTGGGGGCCCTCGGAAGGCACCCAGCTCTGGAGGGCCGGGTGGTCGTGCCCGGGGGTCCTCTCCCAGTGGCTCCTCCAGCTCTGACGTGCCATCGCTACAGTCACTGACTGAGCCACGACCCAGACGGCGGGCTACCACGGCGGAAAAGAGGGAGGAGGAAGATGATGAGCAGGCTGGTGGTGAGCGGGGGTCCTCGGTGGGAGACAGCACCTCAGAGGGCGTTGAAGGAGGGAAGCGGAAGTGGCTTCCACCAGACGGCACTGGAGGGGCACTCTGTGGCACTGCGCCCCCTAAAAGCAGAGACTTGATGTCAAGACCTTTGGCCCACCTTAGGAGGATAAACCCTCTCCTCCAAGGGGTCACCCATCCCCAATACTCACCAGCCAACCCCACATCAATGAACGGGTAATTAACCAGCACCAGTTTGTTGAAGTTGAACTTGTACGTGAACCGTTTCCCCTTGGTCTTGTGCAGGATGCGTTTATTGTAGTAATAGCTGTGGATGTAGAATCACAGTTGGGATGGTCACTCTATTCCTGGGGACTCAGACCTGGTCAGACTACTGACCTGGACACTAAATGAGCACTGCTCACAAGAGAACCAGAGAAACATAGACCACATGGGAAAAATCAAATATTCTCTAGGACACCTCTGTTACCACTGGTCTCAGAAAACACTACAGCTTGCCCAGTTGTACAGCTAGAACCTTGCAGAGGCAGGAGTCAAACCCAAAGCCCGTTCCCATGGGTCAAGGGCCTCCCGATTGGCAGGGGTTGTCATGTGCCTAGGGCCCACACACAGCAACACCCTCCTCACCGCAGGGCCCGGCTCAGCTTGTCATAGTTCATCTGGGGCTTGCACTTGCGGACGCCCCACAGCCGGGCCACCTCGTCCGGGTCCTTGATGACGAACTCCCCGTAGTCCCCCTGCCAGGCGATGACGCCCTGGTACTCCTCCTTTCGCAGCAGCTCCAGGATAAAGTGCCACAGCTGGATCTGCCTCGAGCCAGGGGACGACTCCGGCTTGTAGGCCCAATCCGGGAAGGCAAACCCTGGGGACAGGAGGTAGGGAGTGGCCGGGGTTCAGGGTGCCAAGTCAGGAGCTATGGGCTACATCCCAGGGTCCACACCTCCTATCCCACCCTCACCGAGGGGAAAGCCTTCTCCCCTCATCCAAGTGATGGCTTGAGTTAGAGGGAGACAGTGTGTGTCTATGTGAGGGGGCTAGACAGGAACTGGGGGGAGGGGGAGGGGAAGCTGGAGCCTGCTCCAGCGACACCGGGAGAAACAGGAAACCGTCGGCGGCGGGTCCCGGGGCCAGTGCCAGGGGGCCAGGCACCAAGCCAGGCTGGCGGGCAGGGCTGCCAGAGGGGGAGGGGCAGGAAAGGGCACACATGGCCAGCCAGATTGGGGCATAGCCCCCTGTCTATCCTCACTTCCAATCAGAACCAATAGCACTCCCCCAAGCTCCTCTGGTCCCATCCTTAGGAATATACACTACCTGCCCCCCAAGACCTAACAGCCCCTACTCCCATTGCAGAACTAGGATTCTTTTTCCCTTCTTAAAAGGACCAAGAGGGGTGGGGTGGCTGCTTCACGATGAGGTCAGCGCTTGCACACACAGAGGCTTCTGTCTTCCCTGGAGAGTGAAACTCAGACTGTCTGCGAGGGCCCCCCCAGGCCCCGGACCCTCTGAGTGGCACTGCCCTCCCCAGCCCCAGGCATCCAGGCCAGCCCAGCCCCAGCAGAGACAGCATGAGCACACTGAAGCAGTCACACTCTTCCCACTTCTGCCTTCTCATCCTCAGCTTCTTCCCTGCCCACCTGCCCGGCGGGCCACCCGCCCCCAGCATTAACCTTGGGTAGAGGTTGGTGGTGGGCTGGCTGGTCCCTGGAGGGGGTGGGGAGCCTGGGGGGGCTGCGGTTGTTGTCATTTCCCAAACCCCCGGGTAATCAGGGGCCATCAATAATTCAGCACTAGGCAGCCGGTAATGGAGGGGTGGGAGGAGGGAAAGGGGAGGAAGAGAGGGAGGGAGAGGCAGGGCAGGGGCCCTAGAGCCTCTAGAGAGAAAAGGCCAAGGTAGATGGCTCAAGATGGATAGGGTCCCAAGGCCCAATCAGGCTGCTGGGGTCAGTTTCCCTCCGTGGACCGAAGCTCAAGCAGGTACCAACCAGGCTTCTAAGCAAGACTGAGCCTCCCCAATGACTCCACCCAATTCTGGAATCCAACAGGGGATCCTTCCCCTAGGGAACACAGATCAGTAATTTTTTTTATCAGAGATCAGGTAGATAGATCTCTGCTCCCACTAGGACTATTCTCTCTAAATCCAGAGCTCACTGTGCCCCCCCCCCACGGACCCAGGCCCCTGGCCCCTAGTCCCAGTGAAATGGGGAAGGCCAGTATGAATTCCTCACCTAGTCCCTGCCCCATTCAGAAATCCAGGCCTCAAAGCAGCGCCCAGGGTTCCAGGAATATGACCTCCAGCTGTTCAGGTCCAGAGTGCTGCACCAGCAGCCCTGCTCCTTTTGGCAGTGCCAGCCCCTAACCACCCTTTCCAGGAACCTAGGCATCTACAGTCCCATGCCCCATAGGAATTCAGATGCTCATCCCATTTCCCTCCTCTTGCCTAAGAAAAAGGACATCCAGGGTCACCCATGGGGACAAGAGGTCTTCGGGAGCCCAAAGGTCTTTAGGAACTCAGGTAATCAGACCACAAGCTGCATGTATCCCGGAACCCCCTCAAAGAAGCTCCTGGCACCTCTCAGGGAAACAAGCTCCATGCTACTCCCACTTCAGCCCCATTCTGGCTCCCAGACCCAGGAGGGGGGCTGAAGCCCCTGAGACATCAGTCTGGGGGTGGAGGGGTGTACTGACTTCCACCCTCCCCCCAAAATTAAAGCCACCCTTCCCAGCCCACCCGCCCCAGCCTCCATGTCCCCGTAACCAGGCAACGTGTGCAGCGACAGTCCTGGGAGCGGGGGAGCAGGAGGCTAAAAATAAACTTTGCAGAAGAGAGGGAGTGAGAGAGACTACATCCAACACAAAGGGAACTCGGAAAGGAGGTGGGGGGGCTCTGGGAAGGCCTCAAGCCACGTTCTGGGAGCTGTCCCAGGCACCCTTGTTAACCCCCTTCCCTGAGCAGCATCCCCTAGGGCCTGGACAGTGGTTGCCACTCTTGGTAGGGACCCTTACCCACACCCAGGCCCACCCCAATGACGGCTTCCCTCATCAGACACAGCATACATGAGGGCCTGTTCCTGGCTTTGGGGGGAGCATAAAGGGGGGTGACGTCAGGGTGTCTCAATGGGGCTCTGTTCCCCAGGCCTTGGAGCCAGGAGCCAGGCACGGGCAAGGGGAGCATGTGTGTGTGTGTGTTGTGCATGAACCCACGTGCTTATACCAGGGAAACACCAGCCCTGCACTAAGAAAGCTTGGGGGTGCAAGTCTCCTACAGCAGGGGACCAGTGCTTCAGGTAAAAGGAGAGCAGCTGTACTGAGACAGGGATTCAGGAAACACAGACAGGGTGTAGAGGTGGCAGCAGACAGACAGGAAGGGCTTGGGATGGCTGGGTCCCAGAAGGCAAGCACACCTGGAACCTACAGAGATGGAGTAGGAATTCTCTCAGACAGCACAAACCTGGGTGGGGGCACAACTCCTGGGAACCCCAACTTCACGTAACTGCCCAAACTTTTTAAAAGGGACTTTGGGTGTTGGTAGAGGAAGAACATGCTGGCCTCCATGGGGGCCCCATCACCTCCCCCACTGCAGGCAGCCCTCGATGGCGCCAGAGCCGGGAAGAAAACAGGAAGTGGGAAGCAGCCACGGCACAGAAGAGAGAGGCCGGGATGGAGGATCGGATGGAGGGGCATATAGCTGCGGGCGGAGGAAAAGACAGACGGATCTGGAGGCCTTTCAGAGGTCCTTCCATCCCCCTTGCTTCCCTCAACCTGAGAACATAAACGAACGAACACACACACACACCTCCGACCCCAGTGTTGGGGGAGCAACCCAGCCGGTCTGATCGGACTAGGGCCCATAGCTGGAAGGGAAGATGAGGCGGGGCACCTCTGACCCCTCCCCTGGGGAGGGTAGGCTTCTGTTGCCCCCAGGGCTGTGCGGCCCAGAAGCCTATAGGAGCCTGTGGGAGCCCAGGAGTATGTGCGACGCACGTGACTGACCCTACAGCACTTAGCACCCTGCCCACCCCAAAACCCCTCTTCGGCCCCAATCCCCAGGCACGGAGCCCTTTAAGAGCCGCCCCCACCCGCCGAGCAGGGGCTGGACTGGGGTGGGGTGGGGTGGGGTGGGGTGGGCCGGTCGGGGCACACACCCGCACACAGAAGTCCCAGCCGCGGCCGCCGCCGGGGGAAGGAAACAAGTTTGAACAGCGGCGCCCGGCGCCCGGCCCCCTTCCCCCTCCCCCGTCCCGCCCCGGGCCGGATTCCGACAGGGTAGACGGGCAGGGGGCGGCTAGGACCCCTCCCCCCGCGCGCTCCAGCGCAAAGTCCAGCCCGCGCGAGCCCGGGGGCGGCAGGAGAGGGGAGGGGGGAAAGTCCGAGTGGGAGGGGGGTTAATCCCACTGCCCCCCGCCCGCTGGTCGAGGGGGGAGGGGAACCTTGGCCCCTTAAGGAGGAGCAAGTTGGCGGGGAAGAGAAGCAGAGGGAAAAGACGGCCCACAGAAAAAGAAGGGCTGGATCTGGGAGGGGAGGCGAGGGGGGTACTTTCTGCGTCCCCCCCTCCCCACGCTCCTCAAACCCCGGCCTCTGGCGGGGCGGGACGGAGGTACCTAGGTCTCCCTGGAGCCACCTTAAAGCCGCGCGTTCTAAGGTCGGAAACAAAAAGTTCCTTTTTCGAACGTTCGGGCTGCGCTTTGGAACTTTGCGACTCGGTGAGGGCGGGGGAGCGAGGAGCCGGCGGAGACAGGCGGGGGAGGGGCGGCGCAGCCCGGACCCCGAGTCCCGGGTTCCCCATTCACGCCCTCCTAGAGGCCGTCCCGTATTCACCTCTAAATCGGTGCGGGGCACGCGCTGCCGTGAAGGTCACGGTTCGGACCACGCAGCGCTGAGCTGCGGACAGCGGGCCCCCTGGACAGGCCCCCCCCGCCCCGCACACGTCCCGGCCCTCAGAGTGCAACGTGACAGAGCGGCAGGGAGGGACCCTACCACTCGCGTGATCCCGGGAGTGGGAGAGAGCCCACCTTTCGTGGACCGGACAGGGAGAGAAGACTAGGACCCGCAGCACCCACACCACTCTGACCGGAGCCATGAGCTGGGGGTCCCAGGCAGCACCCCCGCTCGCGCCGTGAGAAGCAACAGGTCTCGAGTGCTTGGGGGTCCCCCAGAACTAGGGATCACTCGAGCTACCCTTCACCCTTTCGGCCCCCCCCAAAGTTTTTCTGCCCGGTTCCCTGGGGCAACAAGTCCCCCACACGTGCGGCCCCCGCCCCCACCTGTGTCCGCCGGGGTCTTCATGCTGGGGGGGCCCGGGGCGAAGCGCCCCGACTTCGGGCCGCGGCTCCCGGCGCCCGCGCTGCCCAGTCCCGTCCCGCGCCCGACGGGCCGCCCTCTCCGCCTCACCCGGCCTCGCCTCTCAGAGCCTCTCCCCTCCCCGCCGCCGCCTCCCGGGTTAATATCGCACTCCGGGGCCGGGACGCCCACGCCCCCCGGCCGGCGACGTCACCGCCGCGTCGCCATGGAGACACTGCGCCCGCCCCCTCCCAGCGCACTCACACACACGCTTGCCGGCTCGCAGCCACTGAGGACCCGCCGGCTCTGGGCTTAAAGGGGCCGCGCGGCGGGGGAGAGAGGAAGGAGAGGGCCTGGAGGGGACCGGGTCCTAGGGGTCATGACCTTTCTCCGAGGCTTTGAGTCTGCAGATAACTTAAGTCCTCAGTATTTGCTAACTGCCCCTCCCCTCCTTTTCTGGCCACCGAGAGCTCCAGAATTTCCTTTGGGAATCTGGGGGGCGTTGTGGGGAGGCAGACACCCTCTGAGTGGGGTCAGAAACTTGTGAGGAAGGGCACCGACCTTTGGGGAGGAGGCAGAATATTTTGGGCAAGGGGGCGTAATCTGGACCTTGGAGGGTGGTCAAGACCGCAGCATTTCTTAGTCTGGCCTTACCCCACTACCACCAAGAGCCTGGTTGGGGGCAGCTGTCCAGGGGTGGACTGAAATGGGTGGGACGCATTTCCCAGTATCGGAAATGGGGAGGCGGGTATGGCCTCCGCTCCTGTAGGGATGGGGTCTTGGCTTTGATAGCATCAGTACAGCTGGGGAGGAAGTGACCTGAGAGCATGCATTCGGCTCGGCCACCACCCTCCCAGGCTGCAGCTGTCCTAGAGAAGCAGCGGGCACCGGAGATACCCCCACCTCCACCACTAGGGCAGGGGGTTCCGGAGGTAGGGCCAGGATGCGAGGGGGCGACTTAAGTCTGAACAAATGTCTTCCCTAGGGGGACTGGGGTCCTCAGGAGAGAGGAAGGCCAGGTTTAAGACTTGAGGCGGAGCGTAGGGGAAGTGTTAAGTCTCTGTTCACTGTTGTTGCTTGGAGGGATTGGTAGAGCCCGAGGCTCTGGGAAACAGGAAATCGGAGTGCTGATCAAATGGATGCGAGGAGCTGCCAGCCAGGTAGAGGGCAAATAGAAGCAAGAGTCACAGACCGAGCTAACATAGTGTCTCAAGAATGACTGTTTGAATTACCAAAAGAGAGTAGGAGTTGAGGAGGGATGGAAACCCGGTACAGTAGATGGACAGGAGGAGGGATGGCCTGCAGGGATCAGGCTCTTGGGTGCTTCAAGCATTGCTGGGTTTCACCTTAGACCAGCTCCTGAGAAAGTCTCAGGCCTCCTCCTTGGGGAGACCAAGGCCTCAGGGGAAGCATCACCCCCTTGGGGAATTATGTAACCTTGCCTACGGACAGTGTAGCTCCCCCACGGATATTGTAACCCTCTGGGAGCAGTGTGGTCCAGCAATAATCATCATCATTGTTAGAATAACAGCTCCTGATTCCGAGTGCTCACAATGTGCCAGGCGCTCGGCCAAGCATTGTCAGGGGCATCTTCTCATTTTATCCTCACAAAATCCCATGAGGCAAGTTACTATTGTTATCCCCATTTACAGATTTAAAAAAATAAGACTCTGGGAGAGGAAATGAGTCTGCCAAAAATCCTATAACCAGGAAATTCTGGAATGAGGATTCGAATCCAGATCTGTCTGATTCTAAGTCCTTAAGCAATGTTATCTTCTTTGTTTTGTTTTTTGGTGGAACTGGGGATCGAACTCAGGTCCTTGAGCTTGCCAGGGAAGCGCTTATTTCACTGAGCCATCTCCCCGGCCCCAGCAATGTTATCTTCTACAGGAGTCTCTTCCATGTTCCTGAAAACAACAACAACAACAACAACAACAACAACAACAACAACAACAACAAAAAGCTGACACAGTACAGAGTATCAAGGATAATAGGTCAGCTACCCTCCCACCAGCAAGGCAGGGACTTGGGTTACTGTTCTAACTCTGGTGCCTTGTACCTATCACAAGTAAGCTCAGTTGTTTACCTCTTTTTTTTTTTTTTTACCTCTTTAAGTTTTAGTTTTTTTAATCTGGAAAGTAGGGACGCTATTTCACATCAGGGATATGAAATAAGTAATATTGGGCTGAGGATATAACTTAACGGCAGAGTGTGCTTGGTATGTGCAAGGCCTGGGTTTGATCCCAGCACCAAAATAATAATAATAATAATAATAATAATAATAATAATAATGATTAATACAAATAATAATTATAGTGAAAAAGGGCCAGCCAAATAGCTCACCAGATTAAAGTGCCTGCAAACAGGCGCAGGGGTTGGGGGTTAGATCCCTGAGCCTGCCATGCCAGCCCTGGCCCCAGGGGTGCACTGAGATGAGAGGGCAATTGAGACTGGGCGTGGTGGTACATACTTGTAATCCCAGCTCCTGGGAGGCTGTAAACAGGCGGAGCATGACAAGTCTGATCTAGTAGTGAGACTCTGAACACCCTGTAGACCCTTCCCTAAAAATACAAAAAAAAAAAAAAAATTATAGTGAAAAAATAAACAAATTATTAACAAAGTAAACTATATAGCTAATGGAAAAAGTGAGCATCCCTTACCCTGCAGACTCCTGTAATAAACACTCAGCAAAACTCTCCAACAATAAATACAGCATCAACTGTGAAATTGCCTGCTAATGTCACAGTCCCACCCTGACCAGTTGGCTGGCTCTGTGAAACACAACCACCATGGAGGGTGGGTGTGCCTTAGGGAGAATCTGAACCATCAGTAGAGAATGGCAGTCCTGGTGAAAATGTCCTTTGAGACTTGTGTTGTGGTTTGTACAAACCTATCCATTTTTTCTTTCTTGGCGGAACCGGGGATTGAACTCAGGCCTTTGTGCTTGCCAGGCAGGCTCTTATTCTACTGAGCCATCTCCCTGGCCCCAATCTGTGGATCTTGTACCTCCTCAGGGATCTATGTGGAGCCTCTTGGATAATTTAGTTACTTCATGAATCCTGAGACCCAGCCTCACAGATGGTAGTGACAGGAATCCCCACCATTACTGTGTGAGATACCAAAATACTATGAACTTGTGGTGGAAATGATTCATCGTGGGTGGCCATTCCTTGAAGACAGGCCATGCTGGGGCCAGGTAGATGGCTCAGTGTAATAAGTGCTTCCCTGGCAAGCGCAAGGGCCGAAATTCAATCCCTGGACCCCCCCCCCAAAAAAAAAAAGACAGGCCATGCTTCCAAGGCCACTGGGCTCCACTAAAGAAGAGGACACCCTCCTCCCCCATTTTACTGTGGAACGCCCCCAGATAACAGCTTAAAAACACAGCCACACCAGAATCAGGAAACACCCCTGTGAACAGTGCAAACAACTGTGTCCAGACAGTGAGGATGCCCCACTCCCAGGGCCCATGATTCTTTCCTAGTTTGCCACTCTAATACAGAGTAACATTTATCTTGCTGTCTTCAGGCAAAGACAGATAAAAGTTGTCCCCACAGAAGTCCCATCATTCAAGTCTTTTTTTTTTTGGGGGGGGGAGGGGAACCAGGGATTGAACTCAGGCCCTTGCGCTTGCCAGGGAAGCGCTTATTCCACTGAGCCATCTTCCTGGCCCAGTCCCATCATCCATAGACTATATTACCCTGGCTCAAAGTTAAACAAACAGATGTTTAAGGCTATAACTCAGTGTGAAGACCATAATTTCATTCTCCAGTACCACAAGAAAAGAAGGAGGAGATAAGGACAAAGAGAAGACAACAATGACAACTCATAATAGGTCAGCCTGGAAATTTAGCAATACTTTATCTCAAAATTTAAGGGGCCATGGGCTGGTGAGATGGCTCAGTGGTCTAAAGCACCTACTTAGAACAAGCTTAACAAAGCACAGGGACC